AGACTTAAGTATAACTAATTACATTAAGCCTTGGTATAAACTGAGAAATGTAGACGAAGACTCCACTGCTTTGCTTCTCTTTGAAATTTTGAGTTTAGACGTTAATCAGTGAGATAGCAATAGAGCTTTTGTGATCAAAGCCGCTGAGCGTAAATGCAGACAATTAAATGAATAAGTTTAAAGTATCATTGTGTTGACTGGATAAGCGTGTTGCTCCATTAGAAATGGGGTCTTTTGAGTGGAAATCGGAAAGTTCTGGTGGTATTTTAAGAATAGTTAACGGGTAGTGTTAAGTCTTATATAATGAAGCAGGGAGAAAGGTCTTTAAAAATGTCTAAACTTGGCAATACATTAAAAAATAAAAGTGTAATTAAATGAACTTATTTTTTCATGTTTACGGATACTGCCGCTTCTGTTGTAGATGATTATGCAAACTAAATATTGCAGAAACTTTATTAAAATATATTCTTTCATGATATTTGTTTATTTATTCTAATTTGCTTATTACAGATTATTGCTAACAATAGCTAACTTTTCAACAACTTGAATGTAACTGAAAGCCAAGAACTAGGTTTGCATTTTCATAATGTTCGTTTTCCAACAATGTTAGGGTCATTCTGTTGTTGAATAAACGATAGATGACTGTTTAAAAAGTTAATTTCTAATGTCGGTTTTAGTCGTGATGAGTAACTCTCAACCAGCTCTCCTTTTCTGTATTCAGTTTAATATAATGCGAAAATAACTCGAATCATAGACCAAAAAACAGAGTCGTAAATCTGTAGAGACATTAAGTATGTTTTTGGAAGCAGGAAAGATGAAAAATTAGCAAAGCCTTCGCCGGGAATCAAACCGTTGACCTCTGGAATACCGACCTAATGTACAGACCACCACACCACGAAGTCACGACCAGAAGATGGGAGAAATACCTTATAAATCCAGCATCGTAATCTAAATTGGCAAAAAGGAAATGCATATAATGTAAATAGGGGATAAACGTAAAATAAATACATAAAAGAATCATATTGAAAGTATTTTATTAAACCAAGTTAATTTAAGTCTTTTAATTACAAAAATCGGTAGAAATATTTTTTTCAAGTAAATGTAAAAAAGTAAATAAATAAATAAAATAAGAGAATTATTTATATTGTTACGAATTTGGTATTTAAAAAGTTAATGTTAGTTCAATTATAAATTAAATGGTTTTATTTCTCGCGCAGTGCAGCGCGTGACGAATATTAAAAGAAAGCTAAGCCGGAAAATTGATTATTGTGGAATTGTGGTATTAACAACATGATATTTCATTTTAACTTCTAAATAAAGTTTGCTTAGCTAAAAATTATTGCTGCGATACTTTTTCAGTTAAAATGTAAGGGCATTTTAAAGTCATTTACTTAAAGGATTTTTCTGCATCATCTAATAAGTATGATTACGGTCATGATTTTTATGGCTGTATTTTGCTCTATAAATTTAATTTTCATTATTTTTTATATCTTAAATTTTTAATATACTTCAACCGTCAAGTAATCTGTACTTACCAGCCTAATCTGTACATCACCGTAAGCAGAACCATAATAAAATGGGATTTAACTGTAATTTATAGTAATTATGATATATTTTATAAACGTAAACTAATAAATTAACATACAATGTATAAATAAATAATACATAAATACTTCCAATGCCGGCAATAACGCAATCATTCGTTTTCAAAAGTCTTTGAGTTTGTACTGGCTTGAAGGGAAAAGCATTTTATACTATATTTACTCGCATATTCGTCCCCAATTTTACTAATTTTACTGTTAAATTATGTGGTGTATACCATTTCTGACGCTGGAAGGAAGAAACTAGCTTTTTATACAGCATATTTTAATATTTATTTTAACATTACAGTGTTCTACATTAGAAGTCAATTAAAGTTATGAACCTCAATAGCATTTTTCTTACTTTTACATTTTTTACTTCTTTTCTTTACTTTTACTCAATACATTTTTCTTACTTTTTTAATGAATTTCCCTATTTGCTTATGTATTCATTAATCAAAAGCTCTAAAATGTTAGTGGGTGTATCCGAAGGGGGAAAATGTGTAGCAATTCGGTATTCTGCGAGACAGAATGAGTCGTATTTTGTAACACCGCATGATGTTCAGATGGATTCGCAAAACAATTCTCGCACCGTTTCGCTCCTATTGTTTATTCACTACTTTGCGGACCATTTCCCTCGCCACACCTCGTGCCCGAAGAGCTACCGTTCTTCACGGAAAGTAGGATTCCTTTTCTGCCTCTCATTCCAGTAAAAGAGGATTTTATGGTCACTGGGGACATCTACTACGAGGTGCTGGCACGAAATTCAATCACCATTCATTTTCGGAACTGGCTGCAAGGAGCAGGCCAGCATGTCAGGAGTTTTAATTACCCTCCTCTTCCACCCTTAATTGCAGCCCTCTTGGCACCGTTCTGGAAGGTCTTGCTTAAGACTGGGACCCGTTTGTTTGACATGTCACGTTAAGGGTGGGTTTTATCTTCTTCTCGAGAAAGCATTTAGGATCGGATGAGCATGGATCTACCGGATATATTTCCTTGCGTGATATATTTAGTGGAAGGATAATGGTAGGATATATCTCCTTATTTTAATATTATTTTAATTACAGTCTTCTAGCGGCAGGAGGAAGTTATCAAAGCTAAAATTATAGTAAAACCATAATTGCAGCTGTTAATTTTTTTTTCTTTTGTTTGTTTGACTGACAGTCATGGACGTATGGAAATCGAATTAAAAAAAATAATTCACTCTAAAGATTTTACGAAATATAGGATTTTAAAAATAATATGATACATGTAATCAAAAACGAAACAATAAGATAAAGAAAACTTGCTAATTTGGTCCTTTTCTCATAATATTTGCCAAATGCTGAAAGAAAATTTTAAAATTTACATTGTTTTTTTATTACATGCAACATGATACAGTAGCACGTAATTGCACTTGTAACCTCGGAAGATAAATGCTCTCTTTCCTTTATGAAACAGGAAAAAAAGTAACAATATATTTTAAAATATCTAGAATTCAAGTTAACCAAAGCCTGCTTCTAAGGTGACTTCTAAATTATAATAATATATAAATATAAGGCGTGGTATTTAAATCCTTTTAAATATAATTATGAATTATGAGTGAAGAAAATAAATCTTCAAAATAAATTGAAAGCTAAATAACATGCTTTAAACAAAGAAAATTTTCATCGTGAAAGTAGAACAAGAAAGAGAAGAATTTCAAAAATATTACATTATATTTCTATAATGGGCCATCGATCAAAGCGCAGTCATGAGTGAGTAAGAGCAATGGATTTCAAGTTAGATGAAATTTAATTTTACGTTAACTTTGATTACATGGGAAAAATTCTTAGCATATCGAGAGATAATAATAATACATGTCTTGCATGTTCAAAGCGCAAAGTTACCATGTTCAAAACAGTTGTTTTGCTCCTTTCATTGCAAAAAAATAACGATTTTAAGAAGAGTCATTAAAATTATCAGGGAAAACATACAGATTTGAAATGTTTGTATCCCTTTCTCAAGTTTCCGGAATTCGCCCATTATTTCAAAATGACTGTTTTTAATGATGCATGTAATATTTGTATAAAGCTTGTCAATTTGTATAAAGCTTATACTGTCTCTGTTTTCACAACTGTTGGTCGCAGACATTCACGTAGATGTAAATGCTGCCTTTGCCTGCAGTATTATGACCTTTAAATTATCTTTCATATGCCCACGCGTATGAGAGTGCTGTCTTGCCCTAAAGTAATAATTTTTAATTTACCTTTGCAATTCTTCTGTCTGTTATTGATTAACTAAGTGATTAGTTCATACCAACAAATACAAGAACTTTAATTTTCTTCAACGCGCCTTTCCGCACAAGTGATTTTCACAGTGTTGTTATTTCATAAGGATCTTTAATCTGCCCTTTAAATTTAATGAATCAGCCTCAGTGATTAGTGTGTATTTAAAGAAAATTAAAGATACTAAAATATTTTATAACAAAATTTTTTCTTCCTTTTATTGTCTTATTTTTAGGTTCAGTGTAGGGAAAAAATAATTGAAAATCTGGAAGCTTTCAGATTTTATATTACGCCCAAAGGGGCGTTTCTTTAACATTTTGTTGTGTTACATTTATTCATTAAATATCATGTTCTTCGTACTTAAACATAAAATTTCAATTTGAAAGCAGTATCACAAAATATTTAAAAACGGCATATCTTTAGAATATCTGATAGGCAGTCTCGCCCGTTGGAGATAAAATGTTTGCTTGCTTTAAAATCGTTGAGTTTCTTAATAAAAAATTCGTTAAAGTTTTACAAAAATATGAAATAGGTAATAAAACAAATTCGAAATTCAAAATTCGGGCTTCCACTTGCCCATGTTCGGATGGAAGTTTACGTCGTTCAAAATTTGATGGCTCTAGGTACCGTCTTTCTTTCAAAGTGCGAGAAACATACATACATTCATGCAGATTTTTCATTATTTAATTTCGTTAAATATAATACAGGGTAATAACATTTGGTAGCGATAATTGAAAAATATAGTGAAACGACGTAAAATGACGTTTCGAGACTAATAGCCCTTTGGGGGATAACGCTCCTTTGGGCTAATAAATACGTTGTGATAAAATGTAATACATTTTTCCGAAATTTATTAATTTTTAGCTTTTTAGCCCGAAAGGGACGTTAGTCTCAAATGTGATATTAATCTCGAAAGGGCATTTTGTGTCGATTCACAATAAATGGCGTGTCACTTTTTAAATAGTTACCACTAAATATTATCGTCCTGCGTTAACCCTGCAATGGAGGAGCCGGCGTACTCCAATACCATCTTTTGGGCTCTAATTTTTAAACAACCCCTTCCTGAGCTTTCTCCCTTCCTCTACCCTCCTAGAAACATTCCATGAGTGCAATGCATCTGGTATTTCTGGTCAGTCTGGTTTTTGCCTTCCTTCCGAAAGCAGTTATTGTAAACATGTCGCGTGGGCGAACGCAGTACGCCGCTCCTCCAAGTATGTACAGAAAGAATATTGTACCTCCTAAAGATTATTTGCGCATTTTAGAAGAAGTCTCGGTTGATGAAGACTCCGACAATTTGGATAACGCATCTGATATCGATGAATCGCAAGTTATCGAAGATTCTGATCATGAAAGTCACTCAAATTGAGGGAAATGTTTCTAAACATCCTCATTTTCCTTCCTCAAATCATATTTCCCCAACAAATGACGATTTTAGTGATGTTGAAAATGACATGAGTGATTTAAAAATGAGGATTCTTTTGTCAAAGCAATTTACAAAAAGAAGAAAGTTGGAGGAAGTTTCTGAAAGAAGAAAAGCAAACTTATGAGTGGAATAAAGTTCCTCTCAGCAAATTCGCCAGAACGCCTAAAAAAATTTGATGAAAAAAAAAATATTCCCAAGTGCCAAAACTTGTGACGATATAATTGATGAGCTTTCTGCTTTCCAGAAAATCATAAATACAAGTATGATTGATACTATCGTACAATATACAAATATTTATCTCAAATGTAACAGGACTGCAGATGATCTCCAAAACATCTCAAAGAGAAGCATGTATGATTCTAATAGAGCAGAAATGTTGGCCTTTTTAGGAACTTTATTCTTATTAGGGTGCAAAAAATTTCAAAACTCAATTTGGAGGAAGCATGGGCAAAAGATGGTACTGGAATTGAAATTTTGCAAGGTGTCATGGGTCTGAAGCGATTCAGAAACCTGTGTGCTGCTATTAGATTCGACGATAAAGGCACAACGTATGTGCGAAGAAAAACTGATAAGCTTGCTGCACTAAGAGAATTTTTTGAATCTTTCAATCAGAACTGTCAAAACGTTTATACACCAGGTGACGAACTCACAATCGACGAGAAATTGGAATCATTTCGCGGAAAATGCTCTTTTATTCAATTCATCCCCAACAAGCCCGCAAAGTACGGTCTGAAAATTTTAGCAGTTGTTGACTCACAAAAGTTTTATACATTGAAGCTTGAAATTTATTGTGGCAATCAACCCCCAGGACCTTACGAGGCTTCTTATTCAAGTATTCACATTGTCAAAAGGCTAATTCGTGCGTACGAGGGTTCCAACCGTAACCTGAAGACCTATAATTGGTATACAAGCTGCCGCTAGCTCAATATCTTCTTACCAATATAACACTTGTGGGCACGCTGAAAAAAAAAATAAAATAAAAAAATAAAAAGGAAATTCCAAATGAATTCCAGCCATCAAAAATAAGAGAAGTCGGCAGTTTACTGTTTGGTTTTCAAAAGGATATTGTTTCATACGCAATGAAAAAAGAATAAGTGTGTAATACTGCTCAGTACTTTACACGATGATGACAAAATTGACCAAGAAACGAATAAACCTCACTTAATTCTGGACGGAGTTTGACACCGTAGAACCAATTTCGTAGTAGTTTCACTGTCGCCCGAAAAACCAAGAGGTGGACAATGGCAATATTTTTTGCATTGCTAAACGTAGCGGGCATAAATTCGCAAGTGCTTTTGAACTTCGCCAAACCTGATGCAACCATCAAGTTTAGAAGATATTTTTTGAAAAATCTAGCTACTACATCTTTGATGAAACCACATCTTCAAAATTGTCTGAAAATGCCATTTCTCCTGTCGCATTCCAAAGCTATTATTAGAATGCTGGTAAGAACAGAAGCGGACAAGATGGTCGAAAGGGACGAGGAACCACCTGCAAAAAAAGATCAAAGGACGCTGCGCTGAGTGCAGTAGAATGAAGAATAATTACACTACCATAACATGTTCTGAGTGTTCTAAGTTTACCTGCAAAAATCATCTGGGCAAGTGCAAACCCTGCTGCAGTGAACAGGGAAAATTTGAAGAGGATTAAAGTAGCAAAAGGTTTTTAATTTTTTCATTTGTAAAATTTATTACTTACCGAACTTTTCTTAACCGAATATTTATAATTTGTAAATTTGATTTATGATCTAATAATTTCATACAGAAAATAATACAGAATATTATATAAATTTAAATTACATTTCCAATGCAATCCATTTTTTGAATTAATTAAAAATTCGTAATTTCCATCTTTACTTCTTTTTTTCTGTTATTCTTTTTCTTATATCTTTTTTACTATGACAAAATCACCTTATTAATGCCATCTATAAGATTAAATAGTTTCAAACAAGAAGCAGAGGCTCGAAAAACGACCTGGCGTACTTCATACGCCGCCCCTCTAAAACTGTACCATACGCCAGCCCCTAGCTGAGGGTTAAAGAAATCAAATAATGAAGAATACGCGTGAATGTATGCATGTTCCACGCACTGTGAAAAAACAACGGTACTTAGAGCCATAAAATTCTGTACACGTAGTTCTCCACTTGAACATGGGTACCTGGAAACCCGAAATTTTGAATTAAAAAAATTTACGTTCTTGTTCTTTGTACACACCGCCCATCGCTACTACCAATTGAATGATTTAGTGAGGTCTTCGGACTGGCTCTCGAAGTGGCGTTCGGGCGTGCCGGAAAGATGACTAAACTTGATCATTTAGAGGAAGTAAAAGTCGTAACAAGATTTCCGTAGGTGAACCTGTGGAAGGATCATTACCGATGGATTTTATTTTCTATTTCATATTCAGTAAAACTTTAAAGAATTTCTGATTAAAAATTTTAACGATTTCAAAACTACCAGTGAGAACATTGTACGGGATAAAACATTTTTGTCTCCAGCGAGCGAGACTGTCTAGCGGAAATTCTAAAACTGTGTGCTATTTTTAAAGATTTTGTGGTTTTATTGTCGAATCGAATTTTATGTTGCTTAAGCGCCAAGAATGTGATATTGAATAAACAAAGTAGACACACAATAATGAAAAAGAAATAAAAAATTCGTAAAGCCATCTTAGTAAGAAAACTGAACATTGATACGATAAACTGAGAAAAGGGTGAAAAAAATAGAAATATGTATGGCAACACTTAACGCTGCATCGGGAATTCTAAACGTGTACTGCTACACTGCTTTTAATTTTTTTTCTAATTTTGCTGCTGTATTGTATATGGCTTAGGTTAAAAGAAAATAATGCTTAATAATAAAGCTAAAAAGACAAAAAAAGGGGGTTAGCAGAAGTGAGTGTAACAGCACACTGCTGAAACCTTTCATTTTTTTTTTTTTTAATTCTCAGTCATTATGTATATAAAATGCTGATTAAATCATGAGCCACCAAAGTGATCCATTTTTTTAAAGTTTATGTTAAATTCAGTGACAGGAAATAAGGCAAGACTATATTATCATACTATCAGTGATACTATCCATATAAACTGGCCAAAAATTTTACATTTGTTTATAGAAAATGGGTATCATGCCCTTTTCTTCCTCGCAGAGATTTTACATTATACGATTAACTTCATTGCATAACACTTCCGATAATTGGTATTCTAGTATATTCTAAATACATTTTCTTTGCATCTAACATGCTTAGAATCTAAATGAAAAAGGACATGATTACAAGATACATATTATTCTCTGGATACAACAGATTTTGTAATCAATTTCTTTTTACCTACATTTCGACATCAAACATGCTCTATGTTACACGAGTTTTTGTTCAGCGCTTTTGATAATGAAATAAATTTCGAAGTTGGAATTTCGTCAAAAATGCATATTTAGGCACCGATTACGCCCCAGTTATTTTCTTCTTAATAATTATTATTATTTATAACTGAATCAATATCATCCGATGTAATGCAGCTCAATCATTTGAAATATGCCATTTCACTTGAAAAGCATGCTTACTTAATACCGGAACTATTCTTAAAAAGATGTATAGAGAAAATGGCATTTTGTCTCTTCTAAAAGAGGTTCCTTTCTCAATTTCTTCATCTTCCCTTCGAAACGACGCAGAGGAGAAGAAAGACATGCGGCTTGTAAAAGTTCCTTTCTAAAGGCACTCGAAGAACAAAATGGCACTTTCCTGTCTTTAAGTGAATTAAACGAAAGTGGATTTTCTGCTCAGACGATTTCGGCGACTCGACTACTTTTTTTTTTTTTTTTCTACTTCCACTCCCGATTTTACCTCCTCCTTTTCGAATTTTATATCCCTTTTGCGCCAATTTCCGCACCTTCCGAAACGGAACAAAGGGGAAGGAAGCTTTTCGACAAGCCTCTTTCGTCACTTTTTTCAAGAGAAGGAATTATTCAGAATCCGATCACTGGGAATTCGATTCTTTGCAAAAGACGCCCGATTCCTTTTAAAGTCTTTGCAAGAAATTCATTCAGGGTGGTTCAGGTAATTAGCTGCACGTTAATGAGTCGCTGTGGGCGTTTTCCTTTTGAACCTCAAAAAAATATTCCCTCCAGACAAATATAAAGGATTGCTTTTGAATTTTAGATCCCATTTTGACGGAGTCGTTCATCCATTCTTCTTCATTCTCTAATCTTAATTCGCGTTTAGTGATTCGGTAATTGCATTTGGAGATCTAAGTATGAGTAGATACTTGTCATTATTTATATTATTTATATTATTTTGCTTAATATTTAGACAGTTTTAAGTTTTGCATCCCAACATAAATTTTAGAACAATAGAGTAAATACCAGATTTTCATGGGGATTGAGAGTAGAAGAGAAATTTCTTTACAACAATTGAAATTTTATCAATATTTGTACATTTATATGAAAAAAGAAACCTCTCTCAATAGCAATAGATCTTAAATAAATTAATTTCAGATCAAAAACATATGCATAAATAACCTCGAATACACACAAAATGGCAAAATAAAAACTATGTTAGTTTTTTCTTAGTTGAGCAAAGGGAGTGGACATGAGGAGGAAGACTAATTAAGAAAAGTTTCAGATACTTTTACTGTACTAAACTAGATCTTTCACAGATGATTATAATAAATAATTTTAAACTACTATGGATTTCATAATATCTAAGAATAGAAGGGACTTTGTGGAATTCAGACTTAACTCAAGAGAAGGTTCTACTGTTTGCATTATGCTTACCAACATAACTTTAATTAAATTTAGCCAATTCCAATTGCGATTCTTTATTACAAAATTAGTTTTAAAAATTTTATACTTACGCTGGTTTCATTTGTAAAATGCAAATACAAACAACACATTTATTTCATGATAAAATCATTTTTGAAGTTACCTTTTTTAGTCTTTTGTTTGTAACATTTATGTGTCTTGGAGTGCATTATGGCATTTATGTATTATGAAATGATGGATTACATTCTACTACAATATGGAATTTTCACAAAAATTTTGATTCCTTTTTCTTGAGTTAGAGACTGATTTAACAGAAAATTCTTATTGCAAAGTGACTACTAATACTAATTCTTATTGCAAAGTGAGGAATGATCTTTTTTAAAAGCCTAAGGTTGTTTAAATTAATAAGCTATTGAATATTCGAAATTATACAAATAACGAACTTTATTTTTAGCTTTATCAGTAATTGGCGCATCAACGCCATGAACAAAAAACGCTGTCAATGAACTTCATTCTAATTGCATCTAATTTTTGTGAAATTTCTTCTCGGCACTCAATCACCGTTGTCAAAAATCCATGTACTGAATGTGAATGGTACATAAATCCCTGAAAAAACAAATAAGATATTGATCCAACTTCTTGTTGGTCTTTTCTTCCGTCCCATCATCATTTGCGGTCTTGTTTTACAAACAACCGATGACGATAGGACGAAGACAAGAAAAAGAAAAAACTGTGGCTGGATTTGTGGGTGCATCCCAGACCGTGTTCGATGCCCGGATCAATCTGAAGGATACATCGAGTGGGAGGTTCTCCTGAGTGATTGCTCTTTGAGTAAGATAAAGGACCACGTCACAAACAAAGAATTTATCGTATCGTTTGAGGACGAACTGATAATTATTTTTGTTTTAAGGTTTATAAATGCTAACTCTTATTAAATGTTCTTAAGAATCATAACCAAATTAGATATGAATCCCTTTTTAAATACAGACTTTAAGACTTAAAAGATTAAGCACGGAGATTGTAGCTATAAACTAACATTTGATACTGAAAGACTACGACAAACATAGTTATACGTTTAGGTTAAGTTGACTGACTGCGGAACATAACACGTAAACTGAAATAAGAGATACTTTTGTTGAAAACATTAAAAAGACTAATAATTCTTACTCT